GTGGCTATAAAGTATTGGAGCCTAATTGTTAGTGTTGGCCAGCTATCATTGGGGCCCTTCTGTAGGTGGTGCATGTGTAGCTGTCTCTTTTAGAATGTGCAGTAGATGGCTGGTGGCCTGCTGAACAAAGAGCAGTCAATATTGCCTTAACTGTGTTGGGATGAACACGGATGGTCAGCTCACCTCTCCTTGTACACAGAAATCCAATTCAGATCATCAGCTCAGTGTCTCAGATCTGGTGTAGTCACTCACACAGGAGCAGGTCTCTCCAGCATTTGATCCCGGCATGGCAGAGGGACTCTCAGCCTCTCAGTCCTTTAGTCCTTGCTGTGGGCACAGACACCCCAGCGATTGGACTGCACTTTTCCAGGTTCCCCCACACGAGGGGCTCACGGTGGCTCAGTCTGTTGGCACACTGGTGAGAGCGTATATATAGAGAAAGTGTCAATTTATCCCTGGTTCACACTAGTGCTATGTGGGAAATGCTGCAAACCTTATACATTTACTGCACTGCATTTTGAGATCTGCTGAGGATGTCAATTCAAAGTTAACGACACCCCAAAAGCAGATCGCTAACGCAGTGCGTTTGCCTGAACTGCAGTTCTAGTGCTGCTAAAAAAGAAGGTGCCGGCACGTGTTTTCTGCAGATGCAGGGTGATTTGAACCATAAAAAATTAATGGACTCAAATCACACCACTCTGAATAGCAAGTGATTTGCACAGGAATGCAGTGCGATTCCCATGCGGTTCGCAGTGTAAATCTAGGCAGAATGGAAGGATTTTTGAGGCACAACTCACACAAAATATATTATATTACCATTTCATATACTTTATTCCAGAAGAATCATGAAGTTATAAATTCATTGAGAACAAAGCTTTCAGATAACCTCCATTTGTCATCATTATTTGTACATAATGTATCCATTTCCAGAACGTATGGTCATCTCCACCCCCACACATTCATTTCTACAAACTCCTCCCATTTTTATTCTATGACTGAACTCGACACGTTTCCTGGATTGGGATCCACTTCTTCAGGGAGAAGAATAATGGAGGATTGTTTAAGAATCAACACAACAAAATGTTCCAAAAATGAAGAAAACACAGAAATGTATAGATTGCTACATTTGTATACAACAATGTCAGAGTGCCCATGCTGTGGCTGCAGATACCTGGAAACCACCAGGGGAGCCGCTACACCATGAAATTCTATTGGGGGGACCAACACGGGGCCGAGGCTAGCCCCGCCCTCTAAGATGATCCTTCTCTTCCATAGAAATGCTGGAAGGAGCCCCCTTCCATAGCTATCTTGTGTAACACGGCAAGTACTAGAAAGAGGAGAATTCTAAGATGAAAGCAGAGATAGATTCAGAACATCCATGTCCTCCATCTCTAAAGACCATTTCCAATATCTCATAGAATCCAACATCGTTTCTTCACGACTTCCCGCCCACACCGATTCTCACATTCCCCCCCTACATATACAAATCACTTTTTTGTAAAGAGAAAATTACTTTGAATCCCCAAACATTATATATAGTATATCTATTATATATATTTTATATATATATATATATATATATATGATTTTTTTTTAAGAAGAGGCCGTAGAGAATAAAATGGTGGGTGTTGCATTTTTTTTGTCACTTAGTATTCATGCTGAGATTTTTCAAATGCAAATTCTGGGAAAAAGTACACTTTTGTTGCAAAAGAAAAAACACAATATATAGCCCGATTTTTTGGAAACATATAAAAGGAAATAGAGACCTAACATGTCACACTTTAAAAGCGCGCACGTTCGTAGAATGGCGACAAACGATGGTACCTAAACACCTCCATAAGTGAGGTTACCAGTTTAGAGTTACAGAGAAATGTAATTATTGCTCTCACAATGATGTCCGCGGTGATACGTCACATGTGTGGTGGGAACGATTACATATGTGGGCACAACCTACTAACGTATGCACGTGAGCACGGGGGATGGGGACACTTTAAAAAAAAGTATTTTTTTTCTATTTTTACAATGTCCCTTTATTTATTATCACTTTTATTGCTGTCACAAGAAACGTAAACACCCCTTGTGATAGAAATCAGGCATGACAGGTCCTCTTTATGGAGACATCTGAGATCTATGAGACCCCAGATCTGTCCTCTACCCTGGAAAGTAGGAGATACAAAAAACATTGATCTCAGCTTTCCAGAAAAAAAATGTCTGTGTTGACATCTGCCAGAACCCGAAGTGACGTCATGGCATTGCTTCCAGCCTCCTAGGACCATAGAGATGACCGGGGACCATCCAGTCCACAGCCAGCTCTATGGTAATCAGGTGGCATCACCGAATTAGGTACCAGTCTCCCCGATCACAAAGGAGATGGTGGAGAGGCCCCAATGGGTGTGGGGGTTTCCCTCCAACTGCCTATAAAAGCCATCCAGCAGCTAATTAGCCACTAGGATGGCTTTTCCATGACAAGGAATGTCCAGCCTGGAGCTGCAGTCATCATCCCAGTACATCCTACAGGCAGGAAGGGGCTAAAGTCTAAACCATCAATGAGGTGGATAGTACACGGTACTGCAGAGTGTGAGAGCCGGAGCAACCAATCAGAGGGGGGAGTGCAGGCAGCACTGTGATGTCTATTACTGATCAGCATGTTCCCCGCTCTCACCCTCTTCATCTTCCCGTCTATTCTACATATTAGCAGCCTGATGTATGACGGCTCTCTGTAGAATATCGTCTTCTCTGGTGGGGAAGATGAGGAGGGTGAGAGCGGAGAACACGCTGCACAGCAACATCCATCTCAGTGCTGCTTCCACTGACACCGACACCCACACTGCTCCAATTCTAGGAAGGAGATGTTCTATTACAGTCCATGCCAAGACAAAGACTTGATTTCTAGTTGTGGATGGTGTGGGGAAGGAGGAGAACCCCGGCTGGCTTTTCCTACTATAGGGGGCTCTGGGACAAGGAGTGAGGGCCAATCTGTACCAGGGACACAGACATAGAAAGATCTGACAGGATCCCCAAACCTTCCCCTTCTTTACTCCATTAAACATAGGATTCTTATTTCACTCTGTGTTTCTGTTGGAGAGTTCCCCTCATTTCCTGTCTAGGAAAATGTTGTCACCGGGACAGGAAGTGAGGAGAAATCTCTCTAACAGAGCCCCAGATAGGGAACACCTGACCGGGGATCTAATCCTGACCCACTCGGCCTACAAACTAAGTCTTCAGTCCCACTGGATCCCACTTTGTAATCTGGAAATGTCACTTGAAGTCGCTCGATTCCAAAGTGGGATGTCAGTGCGACTTCAGGTGCGACTTGCAGGACATCTGTGTGACTTTATATACAATATACAAGTCTATGCAAGTCGCAGCTGAACTTGGAAAAAGTAGTGCAGGAAGAACTTTCATAATCGGTGCGACTCGGATGGAGGGGGATTTGTACCGGTATGACCGCTTCCATTGTGGACAATAGAGTGCGACTTGTCATGTGATGAGAAAACTATCAACTCACATGACGAGTCGCACCGCTGTGACCGGGGACTAAGAAACACAGTCTGGGCTCTCTGGTACATCAGATTATTTCTTTCAGTAGTAAATCTGTAGAAGACGTCTTCATATATTTCCTCTCAGATTGTTACATTGATTTCCATCTCTTTTGTAGTATAGATTGTATGGAGGAGGGGGAGGGGCAGAGAGAGGGGAGGAGGGGGAGGGGCAGAGAGGAGGGGGAGGGGCAGAGAAGAGAGGTGACCCCATCCTATCCCATCACATTGACCGCATCCCACCCTTTGCCTGATCATGGTGCCACCCCATACAGAGGAAACACATGGGGGAGGGGCAAGAAGGAGCAGGGAGGAGAGGTGATCCCATCCTATCCCATCACAGTGACTGCACCCCACCCTCTATATCTGATCATGGTGCCACCCCACACAGGGGGACCACTTGAGGGAGAGGCAGAGAGGTGGGGGAGGGGAAAGGAAGAGGGAAAGTTGCAGAGAGGAGTGGTGACCCCATCCCAGTGACCACACCCCACACTCTATGTCTGATCATGGTGCCACCCTATACAGAGGGACCACATGGGGAAGGGGCAGGGAGGAATTGTCATAGGATAGATAGATAGATAGATAGATAGATAGATAGAGATAGATAGATAGATAGATAGATAGATAGATAGATAGATAGATAGATAGATAGATAGAGATAGGCCACACCCATCCTCACTGACCAATAGGAAACATGTTACTGTTACTCCAGTAATACTCCACAGGGATCAGTAAGACATCTCAACTTTAGTTACTATAGAAACATTTGTGGAGACTGAAGCCCCGCCCACCTCTTTATACTATTGGATGAATATTAAATGAATTCCAATTCTTCAGCTGACATCACCAGACTGTGGGCGGAGTTCTCACATCTCCCCCCTCCCCCCACATATCTTTATACAACCTCTCCATACACATACCCCAGCATGGAGGGGCTCAGTGAAGGTGGTGGTGAAGGTGTGGAGGTGTCGGATCGGGTCACACAGATCATAGAAGGAGATCCGCCCCGCTTCATAATCCAGATATATCCTGACTCTGTTACTGGAGGGATTGGGGGGTAATGGGATCCTATCACCATCATGCGTCACTGAATACTGATCACCAGACCTGCCCAAACCCCAGGACTTGTTATTCCATCCAATGGCTGACTCCCCTCCTCTCCGGTCTATACTGGGGGTAACACATCCCAACTCTCCAGCTCTCTGACCCCCCGACTTCCACTTCCCAGTAATGTCTCCCTGAGGAGAACCTCTGACTGCTCATCACCTGAGAACACTGGAATCTCTCTCGTGTTTCTGGGCGATTCTGGTTTCTATATGACCTGGATACAGTTTTCCTGTCATCTGATATCTGTAGATAATTATAAGCTGTGTTTCCATCCAGTAATATGTCTGCAGCCCCCTGTATATAGAAGGATACATTTACCCCTGTTATTATATCAGATAAACCTGTGTGTAAGACCCCCGCCACATCCAGCCCCCCTCCATCATGGAGGAGGTCCTCATGTCTCTCTCTGTCCTCATTATCTCCATCCTCAGTATCACACAAGTCACCTGTGTCTGATTCCTGTAGGACAGTCAGTGGATCCGTCATGTTACACATCTCCTCAATGTCACGCATCTTCCTGGACAGCTCCTCCTTCTTTATTTCCAGATCCTGGATGAAGATGGAGACCCGCTCTGCCCTCCCGGAGATGTCCCTCAGGAGACTCTCTTCTCCAGGACTTTCAGACGTCTCCTGAGATCTATAAACAGGGCAGTGACTCTCTTGGTGTCACCAGCTGCTTCTTCTTCTACTTTCCTCCTGTGTTCCTGCAGACTCTGGACTCTTTCCTCCATCTCCTCTCTCTTTGTCAGAAGTTTCTGCAGAACATTCCTCAGTGTCTCCTTCTTCTTCTCAGAAGCCCCATCCAGTGACACCATCTTATGTCCTGTGTGTTCTCCAATCACATAACAAGACATACAGATACAGGTCTCATCCTCAGTGCAGTAATACTCCAGGATCTTTTTATGGACGGAGCATTTCCTGCTCTCCATGGACAAGGTGGGGTCAGATAAGATGTGTTCTGGGGACTTTTTGTGGACTTTCAGGTGTTTATCACACAGAGAAACCTCACAGTGTAGACAGGATCTAACAGCAGGTACAGGAGAGTCCACACAGTGAGTACAGAAGACCCCGGAGTCCTCCTGATCTGGCTGAGCAGGCAGCAAATTCCTCTGCTATGTTACGTAGTTTCATGTTCTTCTGCAGTGTAGGACGACCCGGAAACTTCTCTCTGCATTCAGGACAGGAATATCCTCCAGACCCCTCCTGTGTATCCAGCACACCATCAATACAGACCCGGCAGAAGTTGTGTCCACATTTCAGGATTACAGGATCAGTATAAATGTCCAGACAGACGGAACATTCCAGCTCAGCTCTCAAAGCAGCAAACGCCATCGCTGACAGCAGAAGAGAAATGAAACTAAAAGTCTCTGACACCGAAGTGGAATGCAGTGGGGGAGGGGTGACACCCTCCTACAGGGGGGGGAAGCTGGGCTGGGTGAGTATTATAGGACACGGAGATCAGAGTACAGAAGGAAGAAGATTTTATTTGCAGTAGTCATGATAATCGTACCTCCCAACATTGCAGGACAGAGAATGAGGGAAAGACGGATGTGGGGAGACGTGAGGAGCACTAAGTGCATTGAGATGGGAAGTGGAGGTGACTACACATACTACACCTCCCCACACATCACCCCCCCCCCCCACCCCCCCCACACCTCACCTCACACACACCCCGCCCGGTCACCGTCCGACTTGACAATAAGGCTAGTTTCCCTGGCCAGAACTGCACCTCCTCTGATCCTCTGCTGAAGTGTGTGTCCTCTCTGCTGTGTCAAGACTCCTCCTGAGTGTCTGCAGGCCTGAGTCCTCTCTCTGCTGTGTCCAGACCCCTCATGAGTGTCTGCAGGCCTGGGTCCTCTCTCTGCTGTGTCCAGACTCCTCCTGAGTGTCTGCAGGCCTGAGTCCTTGTTAGAGAATGCAGATGCTTGGTTCCCATCTGCAAGGCTGAAATACATATCTTGGTTCTCATCTGCAAGGCTGAAATACATGTCCTTGGTTCCCATCTGCAAAGCTGAAATACATGTCTTGGTTCCCACCTGCAAGGCGTAAATACATTTCCTTGGTTCCCCCCTGCAAGGCTGAAATACATGTCCTTGGTTCCCATCTGCAAGGCTGAAATACATGTCCTTGGTTCCTACCTGCAAGGCTGAAATCCATGTCCTTGGTTCCCATCTGCATGGCTGAAATACATGTCCTTGGTTCCCATCTGCAAGGCTGAAATACATGTCCTTGGTTCCCATCTGCCTGGCTGAAATACATGTCTTGGTTCCCATCTGCAAGGCTGAAATACATGTTCTTGGTTCCCATATGCAAGGCTGAAATACATGTCCTTGGTTCCCACCTGCAAGGCTGAAATACATGTCTTGGTTCCCATCTGCAAGGCTGAAATACATGTCCTTGGTTCCTACCTGCAAGGCTGAAATACATGTCCTTGGTTCCCATATGCAAGGCTGAAATCCATGTCCTTGGTTCCAATCTGCAAGGCTTAAATACATGTCCTTGGTTCCCATCTGCAAGGCTGAAATACATGTCTTGGTTCCCACCTGCATGGCTGAAATACAAGTCTTGGATCCCACCTGCATGGCTGAAATCCATGTCCTTGGTTCCCACCTGCAAGGCTTAAATACATGTCTTGGTTCCCATCTGCAAGGCTGAAATACATGTCCTTGGTTCCCACCTGCAAGGCTGAAATACATGTCTTGGTTCCCATATGCAAGGCTGAAATACATGTCTTGGTTCCCATCTGCAAGGCTTAAATACATGTCCTTGGTTCCCACCTGGAAGGCTGAAATACATGTCTTGGTTCCCATCTGCAAGGTTGAAATACACATCCTTGGTTCCAATCTGCAAGGCTGAAATACATGTCCTTGGTTCCCACCTGCAAGGCTGAAATACATGTCTTGGATCCCACCTGCATGGCTGAAATACATGTCTTTGGTTCCCACCTGCAAGACTTAAATACATGTCCTTGGTTCCCATCTGCAAGGCTGAAATACATGTCCTTGGTTCCCATCTGCAAGGCTTAAATACATGTCCTTGGTTCCCATCTGCAAGGCTTAAATACATGTCATTGGTTCCCATCTGCATGGCTGAAATACATGTCCTTGGTTCCCACCTGCAAGGCTTAAATACATGTCTTGGTTCCCATCTGCAAGGCTGAAATACATGTCTTGGTTCCCATCTGCAAGGCTTAAATACATGTCTTGGTTCCCATCTGCAAGGCTGAAATACATGTCTTGGTTCCAATCTGCAAGGCTAAAATACATGTCCTTGGTTCCCGTATGCAAGGCTGAAATCCATGTCCTTGGTTCCCACCTGCAAGGCTGAAATCCATGTCCTTGGTTCCCATCTGCAAGTTTGAAATCCATGTCCTTGGTTCCCATCTGCAAGGCTGAAATACATGTCTTGGTTCCCATCTGCAAGGCTTAAATACATGTCCTTGGTTCCCACCTGGAAGGCTGAAATACATGTCTTGGTTCCCATCTGCAAGGCTTAAATACATGTCCTTGGTTCCCACCTGGAAGGCTGAAATACATGTCTTGGTTCCCATCTGCAAGGCTGAAATACATGTCCTTGGTTCCGATCTGCAAGGCTGAAATACATGTCCTTGGTTCCCACCTGGAAGGCTGAAATACATGTCCTTTGTTCCCATCTGCAAGGCTGAAATACATGTCTTGGTTCCCCACCTGCAAGGCTTAAATACATGTCATTGATTCCCACCTGCAAGGCTGAAATCCATGTCCTTGGTTCCCACCTGCAAGGCTGAAATCCATGTCCTTGGTTCCCACCTGCAAGGCTAAAATCCATGTCCTTGGTTCCCACCTGCAAGGCTGAAATCCATGTCCTTGGTTCCCACCTGCAAGGCTGAAATACATGTCTTGGTTCCCACCTGCAAGGCTAAAATACATGTCCTTGGTTCCCACCTGCAAGGCTATAATACATGTCTTGGTTCCCATCTGTAAGGCTGAAATACATGTCCTTGGTTCCCACCTGCTAGGCTGAAATACATGTCCTTGGTTCCCATATGCAAGGCTGAAATCCATGTTCTTGGTTCCCATCTGCAAGGCTGAAATACATGTCTTGGTTCCCACCTGCATGGCTGAAATACATGTCCTTGGTTCCCATCTGCAAGGCTGAAATACATGTCCTTGGTTCCCATCTGCAAGACTGTAATACATGTCTTGGTTCCCATCTGCAAGGCTTAAATACATGTCTTGGTTCCCATCTGCAAGGCTTAAATACATGTCCTTGGTTCCCACCTGGAAGGCTGAAATACATGTCCTTGGTTCCCATCTGCATGGCTGAAATACATGTCCTTTGTTCCCATCTGCAAGGCTGAAATACATGTCTTGGTTCCCACCTGCAAGGCTTAAATACATGTCATTGATTCCCACCTGCAAGGCTGAAATCCATGTCCTTGGTTCCCACCTGCAAGGCTGAAATACATGTCCTTGGTTCCCACCTGCAAGGCAAAAATCCATGTCCTTGGTTCCCACCTGCAAGGCTGAAATCCATGTCCTTGGTTCCCACCTGCAAGGCTGAAATACATGTCTTGGTTGCCATCTGTAAGGCTGAAATACATGTCCTTGGTTCCCACCTGCTAGGCTGAAATACATGTCCTTGGTTCCCACCTGTAAGGCTGAAATACATGTCCTTGGTTCCCACCTGCAAGGCTTAAATACATGTCTTGGTTCCCATCTGCAAGGCTTAAATACATGTCCTTGGTTCCCATCTGCAAGGCTTAAATACATGTCCTTGGTTCCCACCTGGAAGGCTGAAATACATGTCCTTGGTTCCCATCTGCATGGCTGAAATACATGTCCTTTGTTCCCACCTGCAAGGCTGAAATCCATGTCCTTGGTTCCCACCTGCAAGGCTGAAATCCATGTCCTTGGTTCCCACCTGCAAGGCTGAAATCCATGTCCTTGGTTCCCACCTGCAAGGCTGAAATCCATGTCCTTGGTTCCCACCTGCAAGGCTGAAATACATGTCTTGGTTCCCACCTGCAAGGCTGAAATCCATGTCCTTGGTTCCCACCTGCAAGGCTGAAATACATGTCCTTGGTTCCCACCTGCAAGGCTGAAATCCATGTCCTTGGTTCCCACCTGCAAGGCTTAAAAACATGTCCTTGGTTCCCACCTGCAAGGCTGAAATACATGTCCTTGGTTCCCACCTGCAAGGCTGAAAATACATGTCCTTGGTTCCCACCTGCTATGCTGAAATACATGTCATTAGTTCCCATCTGTAAGGCTGAAATACATGTCCTTGGTTCCCATCTGTAAGGCTGAAATCCATGTCCTTGGTTCCCATCTGCATGGCTGAAATACATGTCCTTGGTTCCCATCTGTGAGGCTGAAATACATGTCCTTCGTTCCCATCTGCAAGGTTGAAATACATGTCCTTTGTTCCCATCTGCAAGGCTGAAATACATGTCATTAGTTCCCATCTGTGAGGCTGAAATACATGTCCTTCGTTCCCATCTGCAAGGTTGAAATACATGTCCTTTGTTCCCATCTGCAAGGCTGAAATACATGTCCTTGGTTCCCACCTGCAAGGCTGAAATCCATGTCCTTGGTTCCCACCTGCAAGGCTTAAAAACATGTCCTTGGTTCCCACCTGCAAGGCTGAAATACATGTCCTTGGTTCCCACCTGCAAGGCTGAAATACATGTCCTTGGTTCCCACCTGCTATGCTGAAATACATGTCATTAGTTCCCATCTGTAAGGCTGAAATACATGTCCTTGGTTCCCATCTGTAAGGCTGAAATCCATGTCCTTGGTTCCCATCTGCATGGCTGAAATACATGTCCTTGGTTCCCATCTGTGAGGCTGAAATACATGTCCTTCGTTCCCATCTGCAAGGTTGAAATACATGTCCTTTGTTCCCATCTGCAAGGCTGAAATACATGTCATTAGTTCCCATCTGTGAGGCTGAAATACATGTCCTTCGTTCCCATCTGCAAGGTTGAAATACATGTCCTTTGTTCCCATCTGCAAGGCTGAAATACATGTCCTTGGTTCCCACCTGCAAGGCTAAAATACATGTCATTAGTTCCCATCTGTAAGGCTGAAATACATGTCCTTGGTTC